TGGTTATTGTGATATAGGCTTTCTTTGAAAGTGAAAGTGAAAGTTGCTCAGTTGTGTCCCACTCTTTGCCACTGCATGGACTATACAGTATATGGAATTCTCCAGGCCAGAATACTGGAGTGGGTAGCCTTTCCCTTCTCCAGGGGATCTTCCTGACCCAGGGATCGAACCCAGGTCTCCCTCATTGCAGGTGGATTCTTTACCAGCTGAGCCACAAGGGAAGCCCAAGAATACTGGAGTGGGTAGCCTATCCCTTCTCCAGCGGATCTTCCGGACCCAGGAATTGAACCGGAGTCTCCTGCATTGCAGGCAGATTATCAACTGAACTATCAGGGAAGCCACTATTTAGGTACTTAGAATAGATGTGCAGGAATGGAGTCATATTTTTGTTGGGGAGACAGACAAGAAAGCAGTGCGTTGTGATGAGGGGTGTCTAAAGCCTAGAAAGTGATTGCAGAAAGATAAGTAATGAGCGAGTTGGCTCTTGAATGGGTTAAGAACTGTCCAGGTTCAGGGTGGAGAATGGGCCTATACAGCCAAAGGAAGTCATGAGAAGTAGGTTCTAAATTATGAAAGCAGTTAGTGGGAGTGAGAACTTGGAAGTCCTGGTGTGGAATTCATGGGGTGGATGGGATTGCATATGCGGCCAGGTAGAGGAGCCATGTATAGGAGCCATGTTTTGATTTCACTTTGCAGTCTGTTTGCTGAGATATTTAAGCAGAGAAGTGGCATGATGCTGTGAACGTGGTGGAATAATCGGTGGAGCAGCAGGGTAGGGAATGGGTTTCCCACCGTACCGAATATGATTCTTCGTGGTGTGTTCTCTTGGTCGCTGTAGACCTCTGAGTGTTCTCCAGCGCTCCTGTGAGGTTACTTTAGCCGGTTCAGGGTTGTTCTGTGATGTCTCTGTGAGGGAATGAGCTCCTGGAGCTTACTGGTCTGCCGTCTTTTTGAAGTCAGGTCTGGGCTGATGTATTTGATAGCGGCTGCTAGTCAGGGGTTAGGGAGCGTGAGCCCGAGATTATAATTTCTTTCTCTGGGTAAAATGTTTTATGTTCTGGTTTAGTCTGTGAGCTAGTAATTAGGATAGGGAAGTAATTGCGCTATGGTGGAAAAAACACTGGTTTAGTATTTCATATATATTTAAAAGTAAACAAGGAACATTTTTCCACAGGGGGGGAAATCCTGGAGGAAATGTTAACAGTGGCCTTTCAGTGGGCAGAAGAGGCATTGTGCTTTAAGAACAAGATTCTAGAGCTAGTGAGCTTTGGTTTAAAATCCTGATTCTACTACTTGTTAGCTGAGTGATCTTGGGACTAATTACTTACTTCTCTGTGCCTCACCTGTGTTGTGGCATTGATGATTAGGTGTATGTTTCATTTATCAAGACAGTGACAGTGCCTGAAGTATAATAAACCCTCGAGAATTATTAGCTCTTGCTACCTTGCCTGCTCTTCTCAAGGTCATCTCATGATCTGTATTGGCTAGATTTTACTTCTGTAATGCTGAGTAGCAACCAGTCCCAAGATTTTAGTGTTCAAAAGAACAAGTATTTAGTTTTCACACTTGGGTCGGTGGTGGCAGTTCTGCTCTAGGACTGCATTAGATTCAGGTCCGCACTGTTTCTTTTCTTTTTTAAAAGTTTGGCTGCGTTGTGTCTTCACTGCTGTGTGCTGGGATAGTTGTCCTGTGGCATGTGGGATCTTAGTTTCCCAACCAAAGATCGCAGCCACATCCCCTGCTTTGAAAGGCAAATTCTTAACCACTAGACTACCAGGGAAGTCCCTGCTCTACTTGTTTCTTATTCCAGGACCCAGAATGCGGGGGCAGGGGCTGCTGTGGGGTGCTGCTCTCATGGAAGCCTGGGGCACAAGAGGAAAGAGTGTGGAAATACCTTGTCCTTCTTAAAGCCTCTGCTCTCAGCTGGTACACTGGCACTTTTGCCTATGTTCCACTTGTCAGGTCACATAATGTGGATAGATTCAGAGATTGTGGGGTAGGAAAGTATAGTCTCACAGTGAACCTTGGCAAGGGTGGGAGGGAAGGATGAATTTTAAACAGGAAGCACAGTCTGCCTTAAGGGTACTAAGGCCCAGCTCGAGGTCTGAGTCCCATGTGCAGGGGAGGAGAAAGGGTGAATAGGCAAAAGGACACCCTCACCTGCTTGTCCTCTTTTTTAAGGAGCCTTCATGGAAGTCATACCTGACAACTTTTGCTTCAAACTCATTGGTTAGAATTTAGTCACATGGCCACACTTGTCTGGGAAAGGAGGCTGGGGTTATTTTATTTTGCTTTTATTTTTCTGGTTTTTGGGGATGTCTCATGGTTTGTGGGATCCTAGCTCCTCAACCAGGGATTGAATCTATGCCCTTGGCAGGGCAGTGAAAGCCTGGAATCCTAACTATTGGACCACCAGCGAATTTCCCTCTGATCCTTTTAAAACATGAAATAGGATCCTTTTTCCCCCCGGGCTTTGTTTTTAAGGGTAAATTGTCAATAAGTGTGAAAGCAAGTATTTCTGAATTGGTTGGCATCTCCTCACAATCGTATTTGATACTACAGAAAAAGAAGATGGCATTCTAACCCTCAAGGGGTTAGAATTCCTAAACAAAGTAAAACAAGTAGAGGTAAGCTCAATAGATGTGTAAGGAGGGAAGTGGTTAAAATGAGTGGGAGCAGCCAGAAATGAAGTTGGAGATGAGATGGAGTATAGATTAGGCTTTAAAAGGGCATGCCGAGGGACTTCTCTGGCAGTCCAGTGGTTAAGACTCTGAGTTTCCACTGCCAGGGGCACAGGTTTCATCTCTGATCAGGGAACTAAGATTCCACATGCCTCGAGGGGTGGCCAATAAATAAATAGATAAATAAATAAATAGAGGTTGAGATTTATATTGATGGACCAGAGCGGGGTCATGATAGTGCAGAAGACATGGAGCAAAGACAGAGAGGCACGAACTAATCTTTTTTGTATGTTGGAGTTGGCTCAGTACAGAAGTGGCCCAGTGTGGAGGCTACATATGGTTGGCATCTAATGCTGTGCTCCTTAACCCTCATTATGGTAAAAAAAAAACACAACAAAACTTCATTGGTTTCCTATAATACTCTCCCTCTTTTTCCTTGCTTCTGTTTTAGGAAAACTACGAACAGATGAAAGCATTAGTAAATCAACTCCATGAGCGAGCGCAGAACATCAGACTAGGTAAGCGCTCCGTTACTCTTCAGTTTATGCTTTTAGTTAAGATGTCTCTTTATTTGTTTTAGAAAAACTAGTAGCATCAAGGTTTTGACTCTTCAAGACTGCATTTGCTGTTAGTGGGAATGTAAATTGGGGCAGCCACTATGTAAGACAGCATGTTGTTGTTTAGTTGCTAACTCGTGTCTGACTCTTTTATGACCCCGTGGACTGTCGCCCACCAGGCTCCCCTGTCCGTAGGATTTTCCAGGCAAGAAGGAGTGGGTTGTCATTTCCTTCTCCAGGAATCTTCTCCATCTAGGGATTGAAGCCGCGTCTCCTGCATTGGCAGGTGGATTCTTCCTGAGCCATCAGGGAAGCCATGTAACACAGTGTGGAGGTCCTTAAAAAGTAAAAATAGAGTTACCATATGATCCAGCAATCCGACTCCTAGGCTTATATCTGGAAAAGATGAAAACTCTTAATTCCCCAGTGTTCATAGCAGCACTGTTTACAAGAGCCAAAGACATGAAAACAACCCAGATACCCACCAACAGGTGATTGGTTTAAGATGTGGTATACATATATATATATATATATGTGAATATATACTCAGTCCTAAAAAGAGAATGGAATATTGCCATTTCTAGCAACATGGATGGACCTAGAGAATATCATACTAAGTGAAGTAAGTCAGGAAGAGAAAGATAAATATTATACAATATTTTATATATGGAATCTAAAAGATAATGCAAATGAATCTATACACAAAGCAGAAACAGACATGGAGGTATAGTCCAGTGGCAGAACATTTGACCGCAGGGACAGGCCCAAAGACAGAAGGAGCAAACCTCTGGTTGCCAAAGGGGAAAGGAAAGGGATGAGAGAAATTAGGAGCATGTGGTTAACAGACAAAAAGTTAGAATGCATAAAATAGATACGCAACATGGATTCACTAAACATGGAGGACAGTATTTACTATCTTGTGATAACTGATAATGGAAAATAAACTGAAAAAATATGTATAAATGAGTCCCTTTGCTGCACACCTGGAACTAATACAATCCTGCTATTTAACTATTTCAGTTTTAAAAGCCTGCATTTGTCGGCATGCAGATTATTTTTAACTAGTATTTGGTCAATTTTTCTGCTCAGGTAGCACTGCCATTATTTGGGGGAAAGTAGAAATTCAGATTCATCAATTATTATTTTTTTTTTTGTCCACACTTTGTGGCTTGTGGGACCTCAGTTTCTCAACCAGGGATTGAGCCTGGGCGCTGGTAGTGAAAGCACCAAATCCTAGCCACTAGAGCACCAGAGAACTTCCTCATCAGTATTTTAAACTATTTCTTCTTAAGGTTTTTATTTCAGTCACATAGTCACTGAAAGTTTTGTTTTACTTGAAGCAACTAAAAACATTTTATGTTCATTAGTCATATTCATACTATATATTGTATTTTTTATAATTGTGCTTTTTCTGCTGTGTTGTATAATTTGGAAATAATTTCTGTGTGGATTTATTGCTAATTAAATAAATGAGATTTCCTAAAAACTTTGTAATTTGTCATTTTTTATTTTTAAATTGTGGACATAATAGACATTCTTTTTCTTGGAAGAAATTGCATCCTAGGAATATAAAATGCTAATGTTTAAATAAGTACTACATCAACTTCTGTTGTGCCTTTATTGGTACATATGATAATTTACTTTAGAAGGCTCTGTGACTTGAAATAACAGCCATTTCCAAAGTAAGAGTCCTCATATTAAAGTACCTGAGAAGGAGCTATTTGAATTTTATAGCCTTCATTTAAAAAGAATTCTCTGACTCCAGGGGTGCAGCAAGGAGAGAAATGAGGCTGAGCTGGGTCTTGACAGTACTGTCCATCTGCCTGAGCGCCCTGGTCATGGCCACAGGGGCCGAGGGCAAACGGAAGCTCCAGATCGGAGTCAAGAAACCGGTAGACCGCTGTCCCATCAAATCGCACAAAGGGGACGTCCTGCACGTGCTCTACACGGGGAAGCTGGAAGATGGAACAGAGTTTGATAGCGGTCTGCCCCAGAACCAGTCCTTTGTCTTCTCCTTGGGCACAGGCCAGGTCATCAAGGGCTGGGACCAGGGGCTGCTAGGGATGTGTGAGGGGAAAAAGCGGAAGCTGGTAATCCCATCAGAGCTGGGGTATGGAGATCGGGGAGCTCCCCCAAAGATTCCAGGTGGTGCAACCTTGGTGTTCGAGGTGGAGCTGCTCAAAATCAAGCGATGTTCAGAACTGTAGCCAAACTGGAGAAAGGTGGTGGAGAGGCCCCCATCAGGGACCAGACTGTTTAAAGAAAGAAAAAAAACCTTAAAACCCAAAATAAACCAACAAAAAAGAATTCTTTTCAGTATCCTCATATATAGAATCTGTTTGGTCTATCAACCTGTGGTTTAAGGATGTTGTATTTCTGGATATGATCTTATCACATTCAGAGGACAGACTTTGAGCAGAAGTCATTACTGAAATAATTTGGCAAAATCTTGATGGATTTCTGTTTAAAGTGTTTTTTAATATGTTTTTTCCTCTAAGCACTTTAAGGATGGAGACAAGGTAATTGATTAATTGCAGATGGACAGAAAGATCATCTAAAATTGTGTATTCATTTGTGTAGGTATTAGGGAAGAAATAAGCTCAGTATTTTCATCCTTTGTAGAATTTTGAGGTTGGTAGTTACTCTAATAAGTAAGCCACTTTGGTCCAGTTATGTAATCCCTCTTGAACATTTTCAGTATCTCATTTGTAACTTGAGACTCAAGAGTGGGTCTGTGAATTACAGGCATTATTTACTCCAAGCACACATTTCTGTCTTCTTTTGACTTAATAGATTAATCAAAGTTAATTGAAAAAAACCATTAAAAAAGCCTGTTTGGAATACATTGGTCTCTGCCTTTTGTACTGTAGTAGTTTAGTGTCAAAATCAATTAAATCCTCTAAAAGTTACCATGACATGAACAAGTAGATATGAAACTCAGTGTGGGGTCAGTTGAAGCAAAGACCTCATTCAGATGGCAGTAATTGCTCCCATTCTATCTATAAAGATATAGATTAAAAAAAAAAACCAGGCGAAAAGGGTAAACTTCATATAGGTCCTTCTGTATTGTGTGTTCTCAGTTATATCTGACTCTTTGTGACCCCATGGATTGTAGTCTTCTTTCCTTGGAATTTTCCAGACAAGAATACTGGAGTGGGTTGCCATTTCCTACTCCAGGGGGTCTTTCTGACCCAGGGATCGAACCCTTGTCTCTTGTGTCTCTTGCACTGGTAGGCAGATTCTTTACCCCTGTGCCACCTGGGAAGCTATTCCTTCTAGATTAGGTACTTGTAATAGAAGAAGAATATTATTTTGATAATGGCTGTATCCAGTCCCTTCGGTTTTAAGTCACAAAGATCCAAATCAAACTTGTTTAATCCAGAAGCCAACCACCAAACCATGGAAAGGAAGTACGGAATGGACTGGGGGACTCCAAGCCTTCCAGGACTTACTTTCTCTGCCCATTTTCTCTCATTTCAGGATGTGCATGTATGTTGGACCACATTCTCTTTCTCCACGAGGTGGGGAACTAGGTTGCTTGGAGGCCAGCAACAATCTGAAGTAAATTGTAAACAATCAGTTTACAATCTGAAGGAAAGATCTAGTTATCCTTTCACTCCAATTTGGAAAACTGTGATGGGTTCTCTGGGGTCCCATGTTCTCTTCCTGACCCAGTCACTGTATCCAGTGGGGTGTGGTACGTACAGTGCCAGCCTGGACCCATGTCCACCAGGACTCCAAGACAGTGTGCAGCTGGCAGCTCCTGAAACTTCATGGCGTGGCAATGGTTTTCAGGAAAGGAGGAGAGGAAAGCAGGCAGTCAAAAAGCAAAGGATGTCAATTACACTGTCTCCAGACCACCTGGGATTTCTTGGTGGCTCAGTGGTAAAGAATCCACCTGCAATGCAAGAGACAAGGGTTTTATCCCTGAGTCGGGAAGATCCCCTGGAGAAAGAAATGGCAACCCGCTCCAGTATTCTTGCCTGAGAAATCCCATGGACAGAGGAGCTTGGAGGGCTACAGTCCATGGGGTTGCAAAGAGTCGGACACGACTTCATGACTAAGCAACAACAGACCACCCTAATTTCTCTCCAGGAAGAGAGGGGTGTGTAAATAGGAGGGTGAGTTGTAAAAACAGGGGTAGCAGACATTTGTCATTCTTTTTGACCAGGTAACTCCTGAACGCCTGTTCTAAGTGTGAGGAAATGGTGTTAAAAAATGACATGAGTTTTTGTCTATTCGATATGATTTGAGAGGCAAGATATACTGCTGGTATGCATTTCAGAAAGATGACTAGAATCATACTCTTGAAGTCATCTTGGAATAAGGCATTGTCTCATGAAAAAGAATCAGAACCCTTGCTGAAATGAAAGTATGTTTTGTTGGGAACAGAACTGATGAATGAATTACTCCCTTTGGATGGCAAGATTAGTGGGTGTGACTAAGAAGCAGTGGAGTCCGCCAGCCCTGAGCATCTGGGGATGGCAGGCCCTGAGCATCTGACGGTCTGGTTCTAGAGGAGAGGAGAGCGCTGAGCAGGGCTCCTTGGGAGGGAAGCTAGGGAAGGACAAACAGCCTTCCTCACAGTGCTGCCTAGAGTTAGTACTGTTATGCCAGGAAAATGGATATTACACAGGTACATATAATGTAAAAGTGATATACACTTCGGTCCATGGGATTCTGTAGGCAAGAATACTGGAGTGGGTTGCCATGCCCTCTTTCAGGGTATCTTACCCACCCAGGGATCAAACCCACATCTCTTAAATCTCCTGCATTGGCTGGCAGGTTCTTTACCACTAGTGCTATCTGCGAAGCTGTATGTTATTATATAACATATATATCAGTAATACCTTTAAAGACACATTTTAAAAAATATATTTTATTGAAGTATAGCTGATTTACAGTGTTATGTTAATTTCTGCTATATAGCAAAGTTCAGTGATTCCTGTTCATACTCTCTTCCATGATGGTTTATCACAGGATATTCAATATAGTTCCCTGTGCTATGCAGTAGGATATTTTTGTTTATCCTATATATAATAGTTTACATCTGCTAATCCCAAACTCCCTGACCATCCCTCTGTGACCCCCTCTCCCTCTTGGCAACTACAAATCTATTCTCTATGAGTTTGCTTTTGTTTCATCAGTTCAGTTCAGTCGCTCAGTCGTGTCTGACTATTTGTGACCCCATGGACTGCAGCACGCCAGGCTTCCCTGTCCATCACCAACTCTCGGAGTTTACTCAAGCTCACGTCAATTGAATTGGTGATGCCATCCAACCATCTCATCCTCTGTCATCCCCTTCTCCTTCCACCTTCAATCTTTCGCAGCATCAGGGTCTTTTCAAATGAGTCAGCTCTTTGCATCAGGTGTCCAAAGTGTTAGAGTCTCAGCTTCAGCATCAGTCCTTCCAATGAATGTTCAAGCCTGATTTCCTTTAGGATGGACTGGTTGGATCTTGCAGTCCAAGGGACTCTCAAGAGTCTTCTCCAACACCACAGTTCAAAAGCATTAATTCTTCGGCGCTCAACTTTCTTTATAGTCCAACTCTCATATCCATACATGACTACTGAAAAAACCATAGCTTTAAATCTCAACCCCTAAACAGTTCCNTCATGTCCAGTTCTAACTGTTGCTTCCTGACCTGCATATAGGTTTCTCAGGAGGCAGGTCAGGTAGTCTGGTATTCCCATCTCTTTCAGAATTTTCCACAGTTTACTATGATCCACACAGTCAAAGGCTTTAGTATAGTCAATAAAGCAGAAATAGATGTTTTTCTGGAACTCTTTTGCTTTTCCCATGATCCAGTGGATGTTGGCAATTTGATGTCTGGTTCCTCTGCCTTTTCTAAATCCAGCTTGAACATCTGGGAGTTCACAGTTCATATATTGTCGAAGCCTGGCTTGGAGAATTTTGAGCATTACTTTACTAGCATGTGAGATGAGTGCAATTGTGCAGTAGTTTTTATTTCATAGATAAGTTCATTTGTGTCATATTTTAGATTCTGCATGTAAGTAATATCGTATGGTATTTGTCTAACTTACTTCACTTAGTGAGGCAGTCTGTAGGTCCATCCATTTTGCTGCAAATGGCATTATTTCATTCTCTCTTATGGCTGAGTAGTACTCCATTATGTGTATGTGTGTGCATGTGTGTGTGTATGTGTGTGTACGTGTGTGTATGTGTGTACGTGTATGTGTACATGTGTATGTGTATATACGTGTTTATGTGTGTGCATGTACGTGGGTGTACATGTGTATGTGTGTATTGGTATGTGTATGTGTACATGTGTATATACACGTGTATTTGTGTGTATGTGTGTACATGTATGTGTACACTTGTGTGTACATGTGTGTATGTGTACATATATATGTACACATCACATCTTCTTCATTCATCTGTCTGTGGACATTCAGGTTGTTGCCATTTCTTGGCTGTTGTGAATAGCATTTCTATGAGCAGAGGGGTGCATGTATCTTTTTGAATTATGATCTTGTCTGGATATGTGCCCAGGAGTGGGATGGCTAGTTCATGTGGCAACTCTATTTTTAGTTTTTTGAGGAACCTCCATAGTGTTTTCCATAGTGGCTGTATTTACATGTAAATTACATTAAATGTAAATTACAATTTACATTCCCACCAACAGTGTAGGAGTTTTCTCCACACCTTCTCTAGCATTTGTTGTGTGTAGACTTTTTACTGATGGCCGTTCTGACTGGTATGAGGTGGCAGTTCATTGTAGTTTGGTTTTGCTTTTCTCTGATCATTACTGATGTTGAGCATCTTTTTATGTGCCTATTGGCCTCATGTGTAGATATCCTGAGTTTTGAATTCCTAACATTTCCTAAATAATTTTCAGATAAGAGGAGGGGACAGTGTTTCAAGTTGCTTGGAAGGTTAACCCTTGAAGTTTTCATCTAAGAGAACTTGTGATAAATAAAAAGGTTGACAGTAATGAATGGATTCTTGTGCTCCATTTTGTGTTTTCTTTTCTTCCTCCTCACTGCTCCCTTTATTTCAGGTTTCTTCTCAGGGCACCATGTTTGCTCTCCCCTTTGGATCCCAAAGAGTGTGTAGGGGCCTCCCCTGGTGGCTCAGCGGTCAAGAATACACCTACAAGGCGGGAGACGCAGGTTCTGTCCCCCTGTTGGGAAGATCCCCTGGAGGGTGGCATGGCAACCCACTCCAGTATTCTTGCTGGGAGAATTCCACGGACAGAGGAGACTGGTGGGCTGCAGTCCATGGGGTGGCAAGAAGTCAGACGTGACTGCGGCGGCTCGACTAGTGCTAGACGCCTAGCACTT